GAGGGTGGGCACCTGTCCCTGAGCTTAGGGCACACGGCTGCCTGCTTTATTTTCAACCACATCCTTGAAAGCTAGAGAGATACCAGAGGGCATGTAACTACTGGCAAGTGAAACACGCAGGAAGCAACAGTTGACTTTGCAAAACAGAGTCTAAAGAAGGCTACGGTAGGTTAGAACAGACAGGGTTACACCTGTGATGCAAGAGATGCTGCTTCAGTGATTTGCCTGTCCTCTCCCACCAGTGCCCTTTCTGACAGTTCTTTTGTACAAGGTATCCAAGAAACTGTCTCCAGGTGCCACACTTACCAGCGTGGCCAGGAGACAACAGCCTGCTAACTCGTCAAGCTTCCATGGTGCGGTCAATGCGAGGCACTGGATGGTGTGGGGTCTGTAAAGCAGGATTTCAGAGTGCCTCAGAAGTTCATGCTTGTACAAGAGATTACAGCTAACAGGGATTCTCATGAGAAGTTGTGTGTCATCTTGACTCCACCCAGCCCCACCTGAAGCTTTGGAGAAGCCTGCAGATGTGGCCGGAGATCCTCCAGCAGCCACCCAAGAGGAGCTCATAGGGGGCTTTAGGCAGGCAAGGCTCACTACAAGAGACCCTGGCTGTGGTGGCAGACCAGTGCACACTGTCAGGCAAGGAGAAAGACTGCAGGGATGAGGATGGGTGAATAAGGGTGGGAGCTTCCTAGGGAGCCATGGGGAAAAGTTGTGCCGTGTCATTACAAGGGAGGACCAGTCCAGCATCTCTGCAAGGTGTTGGGTGGACTTCTTAAGGCCCTTGTGAGTGAAAACTGAGGTCTGCTCCTAAAGAACCTTCTCTCATTGCTCTCTTCAGACAGCACTGGCAGAGGTTCTGCTCAACAATGCTCGCTAGTGACACTGGAAGCAGGCAGGACTTCCTTGTGAGAGCTGGTGTGCTGGTCAGGCTGCACTTGAGAGCCAGGGAAGGTGAGAGACCTTTGGATGTTGCTGTCATAGGTGACAGCCATGGAGCTGTTGGTTGCAACGTCCCAGCAGTGTGAGCATCTATTGGAGACAAAGTCTCTGGCATTGACTTCTGCAAGTTTAGACCACCAGTGTCAGTTCCTACCACTTGCCAGCACCCAATGCGCTCCACTGGCAAGCTCTCCCTTGGAAACATTGTAAGCAATTCAAGGTAGAAAGCATTCAGGGGCTACCTGCCTTAGGATTGGGCACAATCATTTTCTGCACAGCCCCTGTCCCTTCAGCTGCACTCCCATCCTTGCAGCCCCTCTAGGCTCAATGCTCCATGCAGGATCCACATCTGCATTTGAATATTAGCCCTTGTATAGTAGACTCATGTGGAAAGCTGTGGACTGTCACAAGCTTTCAACACCAACACATACCCTGGCCCCGGCTCCTGAGTCTGCTTCTTGTTTCCTTTCAGTGCCAGCTGCACTTCGCTCCTTGGTTGCTGCTAAGGCGTTTCTCATTCACTCCACACTGGTCTGCATCAAGGGCTCCTGCCGCCTGGAGTCAGCTGGGGTGACTGGAGGAGAACACTTCAGACAGGGGCAGAGCTGCAACAGTGGGCGCAATTCTGTAAGTTGATATTACTGAAAGGATTTCCAGACTAACCTAGTAGCCCTCGGTTGCCACTAACCTGTGTTTCATTCACTCTGTAATCAGCCCTGCAGTCTTTGAGATTTCTGAGAAAATCCTCCAAGGCTGTGTGTTCTCCCTGAAAACAAGGGACAGAAGTTACTTGGAAGTCAAGAGCTGTTGGTTCTATGAAAGCATCAGCTCAGGCACATGTCTGTGGGCATGTCTCTAACATACCTTGGCACTGCTCGTCTCTTTCACCCAAATTAGACGCAAAGCAAAACACTTTGGAATACTCCAGCTGAGACTGCTGACAGAGCACACAAGACTTCGCAGTTGTACGTGGCCGCTGTGCCTCTGCTGTTCACATCAGGGTCTGAATGAAGGAAACAGTGTTGGACAATTTCCCCCCTTCTCTTCTTCCCTCATCCCCTTCCCTTCCTCACAGAAATATATTCTCTCTTTACCCTGCAGGGAGGCCAAAAGCGAGGTACAGGTAGGTGAGGAAGGAATGGAGGCATACACCTATCACTTCCCTTCTTTCCTCTTGCCTGAGGCAATGACACATGCAGCCTGTTGGGCGAGAGGTGACAAGGCTTCCCTTTGAGGTGATGTGTTGAGGAGGTGTGTTGGTGCCACACAGCATGCAAGAAACAAGCCCTAAGGGGCATCCTTCCAGCACATGGCCCCGGGCAGGGCTCAGCGCTTTGTCCCCTGCAGAGAGACTAGGATCGGGATGGTGGCAGCAGATAAGGGAATCTAGGGTAGGAGAGATGGCACAATTTTGGGGCACTATCAAGGTGTCATAACAGTGCTCTGTGAGCCGAAAATCAGCTCTGCCAAAGAACTCTTGGTCCTCCATGGTGCAGTGCACTGGGACTTCTGATAACTTACTTGGAGACTGATGTTTAGGGTTTGTGACTGCCAGGATCACAAACAAAAGCAGGGAAAGGAAAAAGGAAAGGGATCACCCCCTCTTGCCCCTCACATACCTTCTCCCTTCCCTCACCCAGGAAAAGCCTGAAAACTTGTGCTGCAATGCAGTATCCCAAGCTAGATCAGGAAAAAACAAAAGGCGGCACTGTTCACTGTGTATGCAGAGGAAACTACGGTCTTTATTCACTAGACATTAACATGGTTACAAAGACTCATTGCAGAAGAAAGCGACCAAGAGGTTGACACTTTGTGCCTCCCTCAGGTCACTTTGCTGCCTCATGACATCCTCACTCTTCCTCTTCTATCTTCCTATGAAACTCCCGACTCTTTGCGCGGAGCTTGTTGACCTGTGACTCCGCAATGTCAGCCCGCTCCTCAGCTTCCTCCAGCTCGTGCTGGATCTTGCGGAACTTGGAGAGGTTGACATTGGACAGCTCCTCCTGTGTGGGGAGAGGGAGGCAGTGGTGAGGAGCCCAGGGCAGGGCTTTCACTCCTCCTGTGCCTCAGCCTTGTGGGGCTGTGGCTCATCCCTGGAGAAGGCACAAACCTCCACCCCCCACCCACTACTGCTTACATCTAAGCCTCACACAGACCTCCTCATCCTCCCCTTTTTAGAAGGTCCATTGCAGACACAGCATAACAGGGTTTGAACATAATTATGCTCTTGAATGTCATTTGCTTCCACATAACTACTAAGCTTCTCCAAATTGTGAGGGTCACAGGCATCTTTCGTAAACTCAGTTATATGGATTTCTAAATTCTGAAAATATGTTCTTCTCAAAACATATTTATATATTGTACTGTTGTTCTTATTAGTAAGAACTCCTTCTTACAGACTACTTTGTTGTTCTAATAAAAAAAAAAAGTTACGTGCACTTGCCCTCCTGTTAGCCTTCTTATTTTCTCATTGATTTCATTCTCAAAGAACAGGCTAATTTCTAAGCATTTCAAAGAACTTGAAGCCCTCCATTATGGACCAGTAGCATTTTCCAAGTTTCTTGTATTCATCTCCTCAACGACCATGCTACCCACTTGGAAAATGTCTCTTGCCAAGCACTCAGAGTGATACTTACAGCCTCTTCAGATTGTCTCTTGTAGGATTTCACCTTCATTTGCAGCTTGTCCACCAGATCCTGGAGCCTGAGAATATTCTTCCGGTCTTCCTCAGACTAAAGCAGTTGGCAAACAGGAAAGAGAGTGAATTGATTTCCCCACCATGTTGATTCCCTTTGACAATCAGTCCAGAAGTTTTTTCTTCCTTTGAGAGGGTATGTCAGCCCATGGAGGCCTCCTGCCTTACCTGGTAGGTCAGCTCCTTCACCCTCCTCTCGTACTTGCGCACACCCTTCACGGCTTCAGCGCTGCGCTTCTGCTCAGCATCAACCTCCCCTTCCAGCTCCCGCACCTGCCATGAGAAACCCATCTTTGGAGCTTCCCTGCTGCCTGCTTACGTGACATGCTCACTCAGGCACAAATACCAGCTCTACGCACTCTGGCCTCCAGCTTCTGGATTTGCTTCTTGCCTCCCTTCAGTGCCAGCTGCTCAGCCTCATCCAGACGGAGCTGCAGGTCCTTCACCGTCTGGTCCAGGTTCTTCTTCATCCTCTCCAGGTGGGCGCTGGTGTCCTGCTCCTTCTTCAGCTCTTCTGCCATCATGGCCGCCTGATGGGAGCAAAGGGTCAAAGCCATTTTGGGGCTGGAGACATTCTGGGGAGAAGGCGTGTATCTTAAGCAGTGAAAGGAGCCTCCCACTCACATCTGTGATGGCCTTCTTGGCCTTCTCTTCAGCATTGCGGGCTTCCTGGATAGTATCCTCCATTTCACCCTGAATTTGGGCAATGTCTGTTTCCAGCTTCTTCTTGGTGTTGATCAAGCTGGTGTTCTGTGCAAAGAGACATTGCAAGACTTGTATTCTGAGGCCTGCAACACCAAACCCACAGTCCGCGCCAAGTCATTATGCTTCAAGCTTGCAATTCAAAATCTGGAGCTCTTTTAAAAA